AAAAAACAGTCATGTTGAAAGTGTCTCAAACTCTCTCTTCTAATATATTAAAATATAATATATGAATGAAATCTTTCTAAATCAAGCTAAAAACTCAACTATTTATTCACTCTAAAAGTACATGATAAAAACGAGAAAATAACAGAACACGATTATTTATACAATAATATATCCAGAAGTTGTCAAAATAAGTTTGCTTTATTTCATAAAGACAAGAAATGTGATAATATATGATGTTGAGGATAAAAAGAACGAAGAGATGTTTTTCGACTTAAAAGTCTTTGTAATTGACATATTTTTGAAAAATTACATGAAAAATGTATTATTTTTATAAAATAAACTATGCTTCAGTGATGTGGGATCATGTATACCATCAGAAAATTAGTTTTTTGGGAAAAGGACCAAAATATCTTTGAACGATTCAACATAGTTAAATTACTAGAGATAAAATAAAAAATGATAATTAATTTTATTTTAAAATTTTAAAATGATAAATAATTCGCGAAAACTGTTTTTTTTTAAAAACGAACTTGAAAGTATTATTTAATATGGTTGTAATTGTTGTTCATGGTGTGATCAATTATTTTTTGTGATAGAAGGCAAAAAGCAATAAGTTTTTTCTAGGCACGACATCCCATATACATTTTGCTGTTTTGTTCGTTTTTGTAAAGCATTATTCATTACTCTCCATTCAGTTTTATTTGTCACGTTTCACTTCACAAAAATTAATTTAATCAATCTTTGAAGCTATACTAAATTAGAATAGAAAAATATTTTAAATGTTGAAAATTGTAAGAAAAATACTATAAGGTGTAATCCTTCTTATTTAATATAATGAAAAAAATAAATTTACAATACTGATCATAATAAGTAAACTTTTCTTTGAATTATTTGTGTGACATTAATATATTATTTGGACGTTCCTCTTTTGGTAAAAAGGAGAAGCCCAAAATCAATAATTCGAAATAATCAAATAGATTAATTTTACTACAAACTTAAAACAAATAGATCTTATCCACTTTACTTGATTTGAAGGGTGATTTAATAAATTAGAAATTGAAATCCAAACTGTATGATGCTGGCCTAATCCCTTTACTTTCAATAACGTAGACAAAATAGTAGGTATCGAGTTCATCTGAATCCTTTACTTGAACATATAAAAATGTTATAACTAGTCTATATGAACACATAAATTTAGAAATATAATAAGTTTAATGCAAGAACTGAACCCGTAAAACTTAAATCCTAGATCCTTATTGACGGGGGTTTAAATTTGGTTTTATGTATGAATAAATTATAGTCGTTGAGTTTTATTTTGCTGAAAATCTGAAAGAATTATTGAACTTTAGTGGACTAATAGTTTCTAGAGGGAATCTTTTCCCTACATTAGTATGTTTTATGTGCATGTATCCCCTTTGGTTTGTTTGAATATGTTCACTATACGTAATTAGGGGTGTGCAATCGGTTTTTCGATTTAGTTTTGTACTATTTGGTTTGGATTTTTTGATTTTTGTTTTTGTAAAAGTATAACCCAATCTGATCCAAAATAAATTTTGTTTGGTTTGATTTTCCTCTATTCAATTCGGCTTTTTTCGGTTTGGATATTCGATTATGTCAATAATTAAAATATAAATGTATAATCATCATGAAGGGCAATAACCAAAAAAGGACAAAAGTGGTTAACTCCAACTTAATTCTAAACCTAAGCAATATATATATATATATATATATATATGATTGAAATCTTTCTAAATCAAGCTAAAAACTCAAATATTTATTCACTCTAAAAGTACATTACAAAAAACGAGAAAATAACAAAACACGATTATTTATACAATAATATATCCAGAAGTTGTCAAAATAAGTTTGCTTTATTTCATAAAGACAAGAAATATGATAATATAGGATGTTGAGGATAAAAAGGACGAAGAGATGTTTTTCTACTTAAAAGTCTTTGTAATTGACATATTTTTGAAAAATTACATGAAAAATGCATTATTTTTATAAAATAAACTATGCTTCAGTGATGTGGGATCATGTATACCATCAGAAAATTAGTTTTTGGGAAAAGGACCAAAATATCTTTGAACGATTCAACATAATTAAATTTAATTCATGTTATATTTCTTTTAGATACAATTATTACTAGAGATAAAATAAAAAATGATAATTGATTTTTTTAAAAAAATTTTAAAATGATAAATAATTCGAGAAAACTATTTTTTTCTAAAACGAACTTGAAAGTATTATTTAATATGCTTATAATTGTTGTTCATGCTGTGATCAATTATTTTTTGTGATAGAAGGCAAAAAGCAATAAGTTTTTTCTAGGCACGACATCCCATATACATTTTGCTGTTTTGTTCGTTTTTGTAAAGCATTATTCATTACTCTCCATTCAGTTTTACTTGTCACGTCTCACTTCACAAAAATTAATTTAATCAATCTTCGAAGCTATACTAAATTAGAATAGAAAAATATTTTAAATGTTGAAAATTGTAAGAAAAATACTATAAGTTGTAATCCTTCTAATTTAATATAATGAAAAAAATAAATTTACAATACTGATCATAATAAGTAAACTTTTCTTTGAATTATTTGTGTGACATTAATATCTTATTTGGACGTTCCTCTTTTGGTAAAAAGGAGAAGCCCAAAATCGATAATTCGAAATAATCAAATAGATTAATTTTACTATAAACTTAAAATAAATAGATCTTATCCGACTTTACTTGATTTGAAGGGTGATTTAATAAATTAGAAATTGAAACCCAAACTGTATGAAGCTGGCGTAAGCCCTCTACTTTGAACAACTTAGACAAAATAGTAGGCACCGGGTTCATCTGAACCCTCTACTTGAACATATAAAAATGCTATAACTAATCGATATGAACACATAACTTTAGAAATATAATAAATTTAATGTAAGAACTGAACCCGTAAAACTTAAATCCTAGATCCTTATTGACGGCGTTTAAATTTGGTTTTATGTATGAATAAATTATAGTCGTTGAGTTTTATTTTGCTGAACATCTGAAAGAATTATTGAACATTAGTGGACTAATAGTATCTAGAGGGAATTTTTTCCCTACATTAATATGTTTTATGTGCACGTATCCTCTTTGGTTTGTTTGAATATGTTCACTACACGTAATTAGGGGTGTGCATTCGGTTTTTCGCTTTGGTTTTGTACTATTTGATTTGGATTTTTTGATTTTTGATTTTGTAAAAGTATAACCCAATCCTATCGAAAATAAATTTGGTTTGATTTGATTTTCCTTTATTCGGTTCGGCTTTTTTCGGTTTGAATATTCGATTATGTCAATAATTAATAACATAACCAAAGTAATAATATTGAATCTCTTAAATATACTTTCTAATATAAATCACAAGTAAAACTTAAAACACAGTACTTATAAGTATACTTATTATAGATGTTCAAACATAAAATATAGATGTAATCATCATGAAAGGCAATAACCAAAAAAAGACAAAAGTGATTAACTCCAACTTAATTCTAAACCTAAGCATTATATTTGATTTTTTCGGTTTGAATTTTTTAAAATCCGAAACTAAACCAGAAAACCAAACAAAGTAATTTATTAATCCAAAATCAATCCGAAAACCAAAAAATCAATCCAAATAAAAATTCGATTTGATTTAGTTTGGTTATTCTGTTTAATCCGAATAGTGCACACCCCTATACGTAACTGATCATTAAAAAGAGTTAAATCAATCGCAAAACTCGAATATGTTCACCACCTTTTTGTTATAATAATTTAGTAGAGTATTAATCAAATAAGAAAACACAATAAGGTGAGAGTTTTTCAAACATTAAAAAGAATATGTTAATAGTATTAAAGAAAGTGTATTAGTATGAAAAAATTAATTATTTTATTTTGATACAAAAGAATACGTTGGTCTGGTCGTTGAGAATAGCCAAACGGGGGCGAGGAAGATATAACAGCAGCACCAAGTGGCTTACTACTATTATACAAAAGAATATTACGTGAACGTATGTGATCTTCATCTTTGGATCAACTCCAATGGATTATGAGTGGAATATGGAGTAATAATCATCCATAATTAAGAATATTCTGGCAGTCAGTCATCCATGTAACTTAACAGGTACTTGGCCTGAGATGGCTTTCTGTTAAGGGTACTAGCAATAATCATATTGCAGCAAAATTCGGAAGTCAGTGGTGCATCCATCCATCGCAAATGGTTTCAACAACATACACATAGAGCTTAACTCTATGACAAGTTCAAAACTATCATTCAACAAGATTTTGAGCAATATCCCATTGTTTGAGAGAAGCAAATAATGTGGCTTATCACTTACTGCTACCAGTGGAGATGGAACCTTCTACCTCTCATACCAACAATTACCAAAGGAGGTTAAACGCTTAATACTTTTGGATAAATGGCAATTTCATGGAGATATGAAAAATGTACTACTTTTTTTGTTAGTTAATATTTTATATGCTTAGTATGAAAGGAACTTGTATAGGCTAATCCTTTCATCATAATTTTTTGGTGCTACTTGTTTCTCGTGTTCCTTCAACAACTTAGAGGTTAGGTCCATGTCCCCCTCTAACTAATTGTAACTTTTTGTTATGAATAGACATGGTAGGGATCAAGCCTAACCCCCCACACCTTAGGTCCACAACCTAGGTGATGGCTTAATTTTTTTAAAAAAATAATTAATAATCATCACCTTATTTTTCTCAAGTTACATGTGTCATGAACTACTGTCAGGTGTAATGCTTTTAGATTTTCTTATTTAATCATGCTGCCAAAATGATTAATCAACTCTTAATTTGACGGATGGATTAGGATGTGCCAGTTGACGTGTATGTGATGGAAATTCATTGTAATTTATTTAGACCATACAAATAAAATGAAATAATTCGGACAAGAGAGGTTCCTCAAGTGATAAACATCTTCTACCTCTAACCCTAAGGTTGTGAGTTCGAGGAGCAAAAAGGGGTGCTCAAATGATGATTCCGAGTTCAAAATTACTTATCTATTCATTCGGTTGAAATTGTAATGGCAAAAACTTTGAACCTACAAATTAACTTGTACAAGCCCAAGTGAATATATTTCATTTTGATCATAGCCAAAAGGCCGAGAAACATTTAACAACAGACTTAAACAGCTCCAAAGTAGAGCCTAGAAAAGAGACATATCTGGTGGAGGACCATACACACTCTTCCACGACAACGGCACAGTCCAGCTTCCACCTTCATTACCCAGTAAAAGAGCTCATTTAGTGCCTCCAAAATTAAGCTACAGTTTTCCATCAATCTTGTAAAAGTTACCAACATGAGACTCACTCTGTTCTATATTGACATTCATGATTCAATTAACAGGTGTTGACTTGCCATATTTTTAGTTAAGGACCAAGAATTCATTAATCTACCTTTAATAAATTAAATAGATTTGGATGTTTAAATACCTACATCTCTTAATCCACAAACACCCCCTCCCCCTCCGCCCACCACAAACACACACATAATATTTAGACCGCCCCAGCCTGTCCTGCGTTGCCATTTCTGATGTGCATCCAAGACATTTTTTTAATGTACTACATAGGTTTGAATTTCCTTAAGAGCACCACAGTCCATATCTATGCATTTCGAAATAAGTATAACCATACTCAAAATGCATAAATATTCCTCCCTCAAACATCCGAAAATAACAATTAAAGAGAACCCAATTATGCTCATTATCTCAGTCACGACTTATGTTCTCTAAACTACATAAATTTATCAAGAAGACACTAGACAGCACTTAATTTTGTCAGCCAGATTTAGATAGGGGCGATAGGCTAGGTCAATATTCAGCAGCTGAAGCACTAGCTGACAGGATAAGACTTGCTTGATTTAATTGGACAATATTAGAGATCTCAAAAAAAGAAATCGCTTCAAAGCAGGAAACAACCACTCACCTTGAGAACTGTTGGGTCTGAGCCCCAGAGTTTTTGATACTGCATCAGCCAAATGGAAGGCATCGGGAATGTTGTCTCCCTCCGAGCAATAACACAGTAGACAAGTAACCTTCAGACCTTTGGCCTAAACCAATAAAACAGTAGATTAATACACGAACTCAAACAGGGTAGAAATGTATACTTGCCATGAAAATCTCAATGAATATTCGAGTTCATATTACATACTATGCATAGTATTGAGATACAAATATATAAGAATTACAAACCAAACCAAACAGTAGTTTTGTATTGCTCTCATTTCATCTTAAACATATCTCCAAAGTTCTTTCAAATTCTTTCGTTGTGCTGTATGTTTGAAGTGGGACATGTCTAGTGATGCTTTGCCTCATGAAAAATTGCAAGTTGTTCTAATGTTAGCTGGAAAAAATAGTTCTATGAGAATTTTAGACAAAAACTGAAAAGCACACCATACTTAGATGACACATCAAAAAGATGCAAAAGGAAAATTCATATATATAATACATGTCACTTCTGCAGCATTCAACTTACCCCCGAATAAATACAATTCCAAGACAATACCAGAAACCTGGTAATTAGAATTTCAAGCTCATGAGCAATGTTCATGGTGCAAGAATAAGACAGCAGAGTTTATAAACATAAGCAAAGACAATTTGGAAGCAACTATAAAGTAAACAAAGTAGAATTCTATATAATATGACAGTCACATATGAAAAATGAAATCCTTTTTCGAGCAAGATATTTGCGCATCAAGTTATCCATGCTGAACAAGTAAAACAATAAAATTACAACCTTAAAACAAGAGAACAATGCAGCATAAGGCAAACTGGCATAGTAATCCTCATCTCCCAGCTCTTCAAAAGGCAATTCCTCAACCTCCGAGGCAGCATTTTTGGCTAAATCATCTAAATGCTTCCACATTCTCTGTGTAGGATTATACTCAGGTAATCTCTTCCAGCCCTGTTTTTCACAATGATCGTCTGCTCCATCCAACTTGGAACTAGAAAGGTAATGAATCTGCGATCCACTGGGACAAAATCTCCATGAGATCAGTTTCACCATAGAATCAAGTAAAATATTCAAGTAAAAGAACTCGACACAACTCGGTTTAACATGCAACAGTAAACTTAATAGCTTAAACAGTTAACAGTTTGGTAATGTTCATCTTGACGAATAGAAGAACTCTTCACATCCACACAATCTTGCAGTAATATCTCTAGCAAAGAAGCGTCATATTTGTTATTTACTTATTAAGTCCCTATTTTCAAAGTCAACAGATGTTATTTGAGTCAGCAAAGTGTAGGGACTAGCAGACATCTTTTACTAAACTGCACAGTGTCAGCTGACATATGAAACATGGTCATTGTTCATCTCCCTTTTTGGACTTAGTTGGGCGATGCCAGGGAGTATCGAGGATGCATATGTGCGCTGGAGCACTTGGAAAGTTGGGAACACCATCAAGAAAATATGGAGAATGATTCCTACTTGCCTTTTTTGGTGTGTTGGAATGAAAGGAACAAAAGAAGTTTCAATGGTTTATCAACTCCTAGACACTCCCTCAAAGCTAGATGTCTACTAAAGTTGTATAGTTGGAGCACCTTATCCCCTGTAGATTCACCTGACACCTTTCTGGATTTTGTTGACTCCCTTATTTAGCATAGGCCTCAGTGTATGGAATTGTACAATCTTTTCGTATTTCGTATCATTTGTAATAGCAACATCAGAAAAAAGTGAAGTCCCTATTTTCAGTATTGGTCAAGATGCAAGAAGCTAAAACACTCCTAACAGGAACAGTCTACAATTCACGGGATCAGTAAAAAGTAGAATCATAGAGTTACAATCATTGAAGCACATAAAGACAACAGAAAAATATGTTCGAATAGGAAGCTCTTATGTAGATACCTTGACATATCAATGCTCTGCCAACGCCCAAACTCCAAACTAGAGAGCACAACAACATGTTTCTTCCCATTTGCAGCAGCAAAATTTGCCAAGTTCCTAGCAAATTCAACCATCATGCCCTGTTGAGTAAAGCGATTAGAACTAAACAGCCACTTACAAGCAAAAAGCTGCATGTGATACATTGCAATAAGAAGTTGGGTTTAAGTTATATAGACTTTCAATGTACTTTTCAAATTATCAATGTAGTTTATCCAGTAGAGCAGTTTGCATACCATTATTCTGATTTTTCACACTTACTATTAACAGCTAGCTATAGATGCTTTTGAAAACCCGATGGTATAAAAGATGTTATACCATCACCGTATATAACAAGTCAAGCAACAATGATATTCGTTGAAAAGAAAGTATGCTAACCTTAACAATCGGAGACCTCTGTTGTACAAGAGCCAATGCATCAGGAGATGATTCATATACTGCCAAGAACCAAAATTAGAAACGTTGCCTTTCTAAACTGTTACTACTGAAAATTATCCTCCTTCTATTTCAACTTATAAACAGCTCCTGAATTTCTAAATTATCCAAACATTCCGTTAACATTGCTATTCTATAAAATTTTCAAGAATTGATATCCATTGAACAATTCCAAGTTGATGCTAAATTAACATCTACAACTTTAAATACGTAACAACTACTCTAATATTTCCTTCACTTGTGCTCAATACAGTGCACTAACTAATATCTAGATTTAGTGTCCGGTATAAAATGAAACAATTAAGTACCCCCTCTGCTTCAAATTGTTTGTCTAGTTTTGACTTGGAACGAAGTTTAAGGAAAGTAAAGAAAGATTTGAATCATGCGATCATAAACTAGATATGTCAAATGTTGTGGTTTTAAACATAAGATGAAGAGTAATTCAGTAGGACAAAAGAAAAGTAGGACAAAAGAATTGAAACGAAGGAAATAATAAGTAATTCAGTGATACCTTCGAGAGGAAGAGCGAGTTCACCAGGTGGAGAAGGCCAATAAGCATCATTCCCAACGCATGGAACGACATTTGAATCATCCAAATATCCAATTCTCTCCGCTTTCAAAGAAGCTACTAGAAGATCCACCGCTAATTGCCCTACATTCCCTATGGACAGCGCCGGCTACATTGCAAAAAGATCGAAAAAGAAATTACAGGACCCAAAAAAAAAAAAAAAAAGATAAAGTAGAACAATCAGTAAAGAAGATAAAGAACAAAACCCTAGAAAACAAACCAGAACCAACGTGGAATTATCCAAACTCAAATTCTTTCCATCCTCAGCATAAAACTCCATTAATTTAAAAACTGAAACTACTGTTGAATTGTTAGCGCACTGATTCGGAGTTACCCAAGTTCTTGAGGAACAAGAAATGCAAGTTTCTTTTGAATCTTGCTTGTTTCGTGTTCCTCTGACAGGTTGGAGTTGGGCTGGGCTCATTTTAGCCCCATTCTTCATTAATAGGCCACTCTATTATGGGCTGGGCCAGTCCCTGGGAGGATTGGACCAAATTTCCATTGTTCCAGTAGTTACTCACTTTACCTTAAATAATTGTACGAAGAATTATTTAATCAATCAAGAATTACTTTAATCTAGTAATGATGGATTATATATATAAAAATTACATTCATTTTGTTTTATTTAGATCCATGTAATTAGATTATTAATTAATTAACATTTATCCTGACATACTCAATATGACAAATATATACTAGTTAGCTGACAAGTTTGTCTACGGAGGAAACTTTGTTGAAATTTTGAGAAATGAAAGAGTTAAGCTTACAGTAAGTGATAGTATTCATTTGAGGACGAATGATCCCAAGAAAGGATAATGTAACACTCCATAACTATTAGTATATGTGTTATTGAAGTTGACGTCGAGAAATTGAAATATGGATACCATCTCTTACCAAATAAATAGAGAAGACCAATAGTAAATATTTGCCTTAATGTAAATGAAACAACAATTAAGTGTTAATTTTAACTAAAAAAGTACTCTATTAATTAATGTAGTTTTGGGATAAAATTCGCAAATAACAGTTTTTCAATCATAGTATTTGAAAACTTGACATTTTTTTGGAGCTTCAATTTTAACAAATGAAACTTTGTCTGGGGGTTTCCTTTGTGGAATTTTTAATATTATGATAGTACCTATTTTTCAAAGACATGATTGAAAAGTGGCTAAGGCGACACTATTTTATTATATATTTTGTTGCTTTTATTTTTATTTTATTCCTAACTAAATCTCTATGAAATTCAAAGATATTAACACAGTTTCAGATGTACTCTGACCCCATTGATTGAAATAATGGACTATTTGCACAGTGTAAACCAATTATTATTTACTATTTTTGGCTTATTTATGGTGAAAACATATAAATCAAACACTTTGCTGCTGAGATAGTAAACATTGAAGCCAGCACCTCAATAAAGATGATTTGATAGCTGTGGTTTGTTCAACATAATCAAGATATTTATTCTCCATCATTATCAATAAGGAATTTAATAATGTATGCTTAATTTGGATTTCTTTCATCCAAATTTTAATCATGATTCAGGTCAAAATTAATGAGGACCAAATAATTAAAGGACCATTTTGCCTACTTTTGATTAGCTTCTTTCTTTGATTAGAAACTCATTCCTAAGTGTCATTTGGACAGCATTAACATATCCTTATCTTGAATTTTGTGCATTTCCCACCAATATTATTGGATCATACATTTTATCAGCAACCTTTTCTCATTTTTCAATTTATCTTTTATATTCACTTACAATGTAAATAAATTTTATAATTTAACAAGTTGTAGAAGTTTACTTACATTTTTCTTTAAGTTACTAATTTCATAGGTTAAACTTACACTTGTAGCCTATATAGAAAACTTTACATTAATTGTCTATGTTATTGTACAAAATTTATTTTATGTCTCACATAACTAATATTAGTCGTGTGGGGCTTCTTCTTGTCTCACAAACTTCTGATTATTTATTTTGTCGTGAAAAAAAAAGTGTCTCACACAACTAGTGATAGATATATTCTTTCTAACGATATTGGGAAAAAAAAACATAGAGCACCTAGCAAGAGAATGTGAAATATCTTTCACTTATGGTATATAACATGTTTACGAATCTACTATTAGAACTTCTACTTTACATTTGGGGTTTAATATTAGATTATCTCTTATTGCAAACGCGGCACATAAGGAAATAAGGAGTTGGCAATTTCAGAGATAAAAAAGTACCATTGTTTTTATACAATTTGTTTCTAATTCTTAGTTTCTTTCTTTGATTTTTGACTAACTCATAATTGTAATTATAAAGTTGGTGATGTAGAAATGCAATGTTGTGAATTGATACTTTTTAATTATACCAAAATGTCCACTTATAGTGAACACTGATAGTTACGTTACGTTATGTTCCATGCATGTGTGAGAACTTGAACCACTATTCCTATTAATGCCACTTCCAAAAATTCTCAACACACAAAATGTCTTTCTTCTTCTTCAATGATTTCGTTCCAGAATATTCTTGAATCATCCATCTAGCTCTAACCAAAACTATAGTTCATGAAGGGGTGAAATCATTCATCTCTTGAATGGTCGATGTGAGACTCTTTCAGTCAATATGGAGATACAAGAATTGAAATGGTTGATATCAACTATCGATTAATAAATGAACTTTGAATTTGACTCAACCCTAAAAAAGAAAAAAAGTTGTCTAAAGCAAAAAACTATCATCCCTTGAATGATCGATGTGGGACCTTTCATACGAGTGGCTGCATAACTACTCAATATATTATATACTTGTTATATACAAAAATGTGTCATCTTGTTCTTAAATTATATCAAACACAGAGCTATTGCAGAGGAAACATTAAATAAATAATTAGAAATATACATTCAATATATAATATATTAATGATTCAAATAGCATGTGAGTGATCCCCGCTGCGTGGGTCACTATGTCAATTAGTAATTTATATCAATCCTATCTAAGCGTGTGATATTATGATGAGAGAAGATTTATTTCAAGAGTTAATAAATGGATGAATTAATTATTGACTTAATTAAATTTGAGCGAGTTTAAACGGATCACATTTCTATAGATTAATTTTGCCATCCGATAGAATTAACTACAGAGGAAATTAAAGTAAAGCACATGCTGATTGATTAAGTTATAATGATAAATTAATAATCAATACAAAATGCTTTTTAAGATTTAATTCTAACAAAATAAAAGTAGTATTGAATATACAACAAAACGGCGTTGACAACAAAATATATCCAACAAGCTGATCTTCATTTCTTGTTAATAAATATAATTAGTTTAACCTTTTTCAGATACTTTGTTTAGTTTATAAATAAATTGACGATTATGTGTACGTTGCCTCTGAAATGCGGGCATCTAATTCTTTTTTTTTTTTAATTAGAGGTTTAGTGGAACATAAGAAACTAAAAGACTGCGATAAAGGGGAGACATGTATGTCTAGATTCGGATGACATAATTTCCCTTTTAATTTGTTCAATTACCAGTTACACTCTAATAAGCAACTAGAGTTAAATATAATTATCTTTAATTTAGCCTTTTAATTAATTACTGGTCTCCTACGCTAGAGATAATTTAATTAATATGGTAGAGCTGCGTGGCTACATCTGTATGATAACACATAGAAGATTTTGGTGATACTATTATTATATGTTAGGTTTATAATAAGGCTAGCTGCTATTAATTAGTAGTAGATAATAAAGTGAACACGTCTTCTTTTGCCACCTTTCTTCTTAGAAAATAAATTTTATTTTTAACCTTTTTTTTACCTTAATTAATTATGAAGGATGCATAATGAAAGTCTAAGATTACGAAATCCCAATATCCAGAAATATTGAATACAATATCAGACAAGTTAAGAAGACTAGATGTGTTCAAGACGAAAGAAAATGTATCCCTAGAAAATATCTTTTTTTTAAAATAAGTAGTTTTCTTATTTATTTTCTGATTTTGGTTAGCAATAAGAAAAAATCATCCTAAGAGTATTTGGGTATAATCTAGAAAAGTACTATGACACTGAACTTGAAAATATTATAGTTTAAAAAATATAATAATCGAAAATTAGGTCCGAGTCGAGGATTGGAGTTGAGTCTTGAGTCGATGTTAGGGTCAAGATTTAGAGCTAGGAGTCGAGTTTAATTTGAGGGTTGGGTCAAGCGTTGGGTCTTGAGTCGAATTCAAAGTCAAGAGTTGTTGGGTATGTAGCAAGAGTTAATGGGAAATGGAGGGAAGATGAAAGAGGAACTTGAAAAAGTTGGGAACTTCGAAAGTTGAGAACTTGAAAAGTCCTCTTATGTTTTATTGAAAAGACATTTGTCCCTCATCGGTGGTGGAAAGAAAAATAGGAGAGTTTAAATATAGAAACACTTCTATTAATTGTTAAAAGGGTTGGAAAGAGGGACCCCCCTCGCGCCGTCGTCATCACTCGCTCGGCTTGGGCTTTGGCTTTGGCTTTGGAAAATCGATCGAGAGATTATTTTTTGGACACTTTCGGAACCAGTTCCTCTTGCCTATAAATACATTGATTCCTCAGACTTATTCCTTACGATTTTTTCTAATTTCTTCTTCTTCTTCTGCACAAAATTTCTTCGTGTACTTTACTACTGTTAAGTGGTTCGCTGACACTAGAGTTTTGGGTATCAATACACTGGTGATTGAGATCATTCTATCCTGGGAGGACATATTCCAAATCAAACCTCGGATACTAGAGGGGAATAATTTCCTTAAGGGGACACTGTGCATTCAGTGGGCTTGATCTTTTTCCTGATTCTGTTTTTCCAGATTGTGGTACATTTTTTACAGATTTTAGTTTTGTCAATTAATTTATGTTCATCTATTCTTACTGGTTTATTAAACTTTGGTTACTTCGTGTTTCTGCAAAGTTCATTGAAATCAGTAATTCTGGTTTTTTATACACAGATTGATAACAAGAGTCGGATCTTGGGTCGAGTCACAAGTCAAAGTCGTCGAGAGTCAAGGCAGGGATCAAAATGTAGGATCGGGAGTTAGGTATTTGAGTGTTGGTCAGGAGTCGAGAGGCAAGTCTCGCACTCGGGAGGCATTTTTCCTAAAGTTGAAGAAAGTAAGTCCATTTGAAAATATTTTAGTCAACTAAATACGAGGAAATTGAATATATATTTTTTTTCAGGAAATCAGGTTTTCCTTTCGTACCAAAAAATCCCCAAAAACCAAATACTTGCATTTTAATCTTTACTAAATGTGTATGAATTTCAAAGGATGTTAACACTCAAAGTGGATTGCACAAATTAAAGTTAAACTAATAGTTGAAAAGAATTTTTATTTTTTTTATTTTTGGCTTATTTAGGGTGAAAACATAGTAATCAACCACTTTAATTTGCTG